GTTTTCATCTGTTGTCCCTCAAAGTCCTATGGATATAAAAACAATACATACAAAACAACAAATTACTTTCATTAAAAAAGAAGATGAAAAATACAAATCCAACAAATATGACAAAAAGCATGATTAAAAGTAATAAAAAGCCATTTAGCACAACAAGACTTCAAGGCAATACATTCAAAATACAAAATGGATAAAAGAATCCCACACTCAGTGTCTACACAGTTGATTAACCAGGAGTCATGATTTTAAGGCATTTGAGAATAATGTGAAGGATCCACTGGTTCATATGCTTTCTGGTATTTTATTCCAGTCAAGTGAAGCTTTTACTGAAAAAGAATTCCGATCAAATGTACTTTGTCTAAAAGGTACAGCAAGATCTCCTCTTACAGTAGCTCTGGTGGTCCTTACCGACAACAACGTGACAAGTGCTTCAAGTGCAGGAGGTGCAAGACCATGCAGAATTTTAAAAACCAGACAAATATTTACAAATGTGATCACATTTTCCCAACTCAACAAATGATATTTTGTTAAAATCTTACAATTATGGTATTCTACAGATTTTTTTATCTAAAATCTTTAATGTCTGTTTATAAAGTATCTCCACAGGCTTTAGGGTTGATGAATTTGCTTGTCCCCAACTTGTTAAACAGTAAGAGATGTGAGAAAAGATCATGGCATTCATAAAAGTTTTTGCAGCCGAATTTGTCAAACAGTATCTTATATGCCTTAAATTTGCAAGATTAAATTTAACTTAACTTAATTTAAGTTATCTTTTTGACGTGAGGTTTGAATGAAAAATTTGTATCGATCAAAATCCCAAGATATTTAAATTGTTTGACCAATGTGATCTTCTCTCCAAAAATAGATATGTTAGGTCAGGTATATTTTCTAGTCGTTTGGTAAAATACATGCCAACTGTTTTAGAAATATTTGAGTGGAGGCAGACATGCTTAAGCCAAGTGGATATTTTTACCATGGCATTTGTTAGTTTGGAAGCATCTTCATCTTTGTTCTTAACATGTACATAGATGACAGTATCATCTGCATATAGCTGAATATCTACACTGTCACAGACCGATGGGAGTTCATTAATATATAGGCTGAATAACATCAGTCCAAGTATGGACCCTTGTGGGACCCCGGCAGATGAGTGCCTGGCTGTAGAGCATTGATTGTGTTCTGTCTGTTAAATAGGAACTAAACCATTGTATGGAGATCTCTGAAAAGTTCAACTTAGTTAATATAGAGAGAACGACTTTATGATTAACAGTGTCAAATGCTTTTCTTGGATCCAGGAACACTGCCCCAACAACACCGCCTCTATCTATCCATCCATCCATCCATCCATTTTCTTCCGCCTATCCGGGGTCGGGTCGCGGGGGGCAGCAGCTTTAGAAGGGAGGCCCAGACCTCCCT